GACCCATCTGTTTGCAGTGCACTGTGAGATTAACGTAATGTTAACTAGGGATGCGCCGATACCGATAACCAATAATTCTTTATTTTTGACAGCCGATAACCGATATGTTGGCCGAAAAATCTATATCCAAATTTTTATATACTTTTTGAGAGCCTGATTACATGCCACGCCGAATTGAGGCAGTAATTAAAGCAAAAGGAGCCTCTACCAAGTATCGAGTACATGTACAGTAAATTAACATACTTTCCAGAAGGCCAACAATTCGCTAAAAATGTTTTTTTATTGGTCTTATGAAGTATTCTAATTTGTTGAGATAGTGAATTGGTGGGTTTTTGTTAAATGTGAGCCAAAATCATCACAATTAAAGGAACCAAAGACTTAAACTACTTCAGTCTGTGTGCATTGCATTTATTTAATACACGAGTTTCACAATTTGAGTTGAATTACTGAAATAAATGAACTTTTCCATGACATTCTAATTTATTGAGATGCACCTGTATATATGTGTGTGTGTGTATGTAAATATATTTATAGACACATTTACAGTATGTAAATATTTTATTATTTCCATTCTATTCTTAAGTGGGTTCCATTCAGACCCATCTGTTTGCAGTGCACTGTGAGATTAACGTAATGTTAACACTAATTAACACTATTCACACCAAACTGATGCAATTTTTTTGTTGACCTCCAAGAAAAGTTCATTTAATTTAAAATAAATAAATAAAACATGTTGCTTTATTTTAAGATGAATTTCCCACTTAATATGAAAGGAGTCCATTCGAATGCAGTTTTGTTTTAACTTCTTGTCATGCTGAAACTTGTGGCAAAATTTTGTGTGCTGTGAACAAGCATTCAATCAGACGATGTGCGTGTGGTGAGGGTTATGATACAGCAGTAAAAAACGAATTTGTTGACTTCATTTTTGCAACAAAGAAGGTTGTTGCAGGCTGTCGCCTTACTGGACCTCGAGGTCACCCTGTTCATGCTCTTATGAAAGCAGTGACAGTGCAATTAGCACCAGACGCACTTCATCCTATAGAGCCTGATGATTTTCAGTTTCACAGTCCTCCTTTTGACCACACACTCCTGCACTGTGTGACATTCTGCTCCCTAGTTGTAAATTAAGATTATTCTGAATATGTATATTTATATATATGCATATGTGTATATATAGATCATATGTATAGGTGTGTGAAACCACTAATTAACACTATTCACACCAAACTGATGCAATTTTTTTGTTGACCTCCAAGAAAAGTTCATTTAATTTAAAATAAATAAATAAAACATGTTGCTTTATTTTAAGATGAATTTCCCACTTAATATGAAAGGAGTCCATTCGAATGCAGCTTTGTTTTAACTTCTTGTCATGCTGAAACTTGTGGCAAAATTTTGTGTGCTGTGAACAAGCATTCAATCAGACGATGTGCGTGTGGTGAGGGTTATGATACAGCAGTAAAAAAACGAATTTGTTGACATCATTTTTGCAACAAAGAAGGTTGTTGCAGGCTGTCGCCTTACTGGACCTCGAGGTCACCCTGTTCATGCTCTTATGAAAGCAGTGACAGTGCAATTAGCACCAGACGCACTTCATCCTATAGAGCCTGATGATTTTCAGTTTCACAGTCCTCCTTTTGACCACACACTCCTGCACTGTGTGACATTCTGCTCCCTAGTTGTAAATTAAGATTATTCTGAATATGTATATTTATATATATGCATATGTGTATATATAGATCATATGTATAGGTGTGTGAAACACACTGAAACAACATCACTGTATAATATGACAAAAATATGCACTTGTCCGTCCTGTTTAAATGTAGCTAAACAGATGATGTACATGCATAATGGCATTCAAATGTTTAATAAATATATTGAAACATTTTAGAGCATGCATAAATTGAAATAAAAAATAAGTCTTTTTAATCTCCTGACAGCTCTAATTACTTAACTTTTCATGCACATTAGGGATAAAAGATAATTACAAACAGAATCTATTTTTAAAAACAGAAAATAAGAGTTCATAAATTTCTCTGACAGCTTGTTGGACTTAAGAAGACATTTCCGGTGGTTTTTCACATGCATTCTGGAAATTTCTAGGGAGTGAGCGTATCAGTGCGCTGGATTGATTTTGACACTGGGACGGCCCTAGAAATGTTCGACTCCCAGGGCAGTGCACTTAATACTGAACTAGGGAGCTGATTGAGACGCACCCTGGCTACCCGCCTACTATATATTAGGGAACTATGCAATTTCATATGCAGCCGTAGTTGATTAGCACATTTGTTCATGGAAATAAGTTATATGAACTAAATCATTTGTAAACATAAGTTAATGCATTAACTAATGTCAACTAACACTAATGTTAGTTTATAATGTTAATGTTAGTTAATAATGTTCATGTTAGTTCAGAGTGCATTAACTAATGTTAAAAGACTGTTAAATTGTTAGTTAAAAGACTGTACATTATTAGTTCATGTAGTTAACTTTTGTTAACAAATGAAATCTTATTGTAAAGTATTACCAGCTTTTTTTAGTCAATTAATTTCTAGGTATGATTAAGTTTATTTTACTCTGTTTTTAATGTAAGTAAACAAGATTTTTATTCAGAGGTATGTCTAACGGATGTATTTAAAAAGTATCACCTGTTGTATTGTTTTTATGTTTTGTGTATTTGAGATTTTTTTTCTTATAGGTTTTTTGTTGTTTTCTTGTCGAGAAGATAGCCTTGCTGCTGACATTGTGTTAAAAGAATAATGTTAACACTTTACAAAAAGGTCCCATTAGTTTGTTAGTTAACTAATATTACCTAACAATGAGCAATACATACCGTATTTTTTAATCTTTGTTCACATTAGTTAATAAACATATAAATAATCCCTGTTAGTTCATGTCAGCTCAGGTTCATTATGCATTAGTGCATTTTGGAAATAACATTAACTAACATTAATAAATGCTTTAGAAGTATTTGTCATTGTTAGTTCATGTTAACTAATATAGTTAACTTATGTTAACAAATGGAGCCTTGCTGTAAAGTGTTACCAAAATAATAAATAAATTATTGCTTTAAAACTGGAATTTCACACGACTATAGACATTGTGTATAGTATGTGAACATGCAGTGTAAATGTGCAGCAGATAAAGACGTCTTCGAAGAAGCCTTTACAGTAGCTGTGAACTGGGATGAAATGCTTAGGTGTGTTCACTGGCCCACAGACCCTTGGAAAGTGAAAAGCGATGAGCAAGCATGTGTGACATACCACACGAAACCTCTTCCCCCATAAACTGTTGGCGCTATGTAAGCATATCGGCCTGTTTTGATAGGACTCTGGGTCCGGGCCACAGAGGGGTCCTGTAGTTTACTTTCCTGCGTATTTGGAAGTATTTCTGTGGGGAGGGGGAGGGGCGGAAATTCCTGTCTTGCATAAAAGCAGAGTCCACAAACGCACTAATCCCATAAACATGAACCGCCACCCATATGATAGGACAGACCCTGCTACCACGTTCCTTCATGATTTTTAAAAACACGTGTCATGAGTTCAGCTGATTTGAAATTAAAATCAGAGGGTGCAGCTAAGGGATGGGATCATGGGAAAAGGAACTGGAGTCAGCAGAAGGAGGAAAAGCAAAACAAGTCGTCTTGTCTCAGACTGTACTCATTTGTAATGCTGCGAAGGGAGATGAATGCTCTCAAACCATCAGCTGTCTGGATGCCTCCTGCCCTCTGGCTTGAAAACCAAACCAGTCATACGAGGAAGAATGTTAAAAACACCGTCTCCATGGCCAACTCACAGTATGATGTGTGAAGGAGATTAATTATTCTTGCAGCCCAGAGAGCTTGAACTTCAAAAATCACTGTGAATCTTGTGATCTTGCGTTATGATTTAAATTCAGCATGAACCCAAAACTGGCCCAGTTTACATGATTTATGCATATTTCTAGTCTTATTGTGAATGTTATTCAAATCTGCACTGAAAATAAATGGTGTAGGATTTATTTTGAAACAATTTTCACTTATAATTTTGCAGATAATTGAAATGGCAATTAACACTTTGAATTAAACATGAATTTTTGAAGTAGAAAGACTGAAATAGCATTTTCTTGGAAAACATACTTTAATAATCTGTTTTTAAGACTTAAAAGAATTTTAAGATCAAAAAAATCTATTCACAAAAATGTTCTAAAACGATTTTCCTTTTCAGGTGTTATCTAGGCCAAGCATGCTATTGGTTTGATGTTTAGTCATGGTTTTGCAGTAACTTATTGATAGTTAAAATAATAAGGTTACAGCAATAATGTGTTTCAGAAGGAGACAAGTGCTCCAAAATCTACTGCAAAACAATCTGTTTTTAATCTTTGTTGAATATTCTTTCTTTTTTCCACTGAGCTACAATGATGATATATCTTTGCAGGCCAGACTTGAAGTTAGAATCACCCTAGTTCCCTTGACAAAATAACCCAATATGATTTTTCCATTGGCTTTTAGATTATTGTAGAAAGTAAGCTCTGTGACCAGCAAAGGTTTATGATTCTTAGACATTTCGTTCAGCATGATCATGAACATGAACTCAACTTTTATGAATTTTGAAGCCTAAATAAGTAAAAAGGCTTTAAACTTTAAGCGTTAAGTATTTATTTAAAAACATTTTATTGAGTTAGAATAGTTTTTCTAGTAATTATGTGATAAGCTGTGAAAACTGTGAAAGCGACTAGTGAGTAGATGAGTTTACCTGTTCGGTGTAATGTTTAATGTCCCCAACAACCTCTGTAGTCCCATTTAGACACTTGTTTGCCTTTTTCATGACAGGTAAAAGCTTTTAAAAGTTATGTTGTCGAATAAAAAGATATCTTGTGCTTGTGGTAAACCGACATTATCTCAAGCATTTAACCAAAAACACATTAACTTCAGGTCGTTATAATAAATTTAAGCTGATTTGTTATTCTTTTCTGTTTACTGCAAGTTTTTTTCACTGTGCTTTTCTTTCTAATTGCAGAACCTACAGCCAGAAAAAGGCCACTCTGGAGAGAGATTACGCACAGGTGAGGTTACGGTTTGTGTTTCCTGATGATGGTGATGGTGATGATGATGTCTGAGGGTTCACATGCGTGTTAAATCTTTTCACCAAAGCCTAGAGTGTTGATTACAGCCCTGTTGCTTTGATTTATATCATGCTGCAGCCGTGCAAACATTCAGTGCTCTTTTGGGAACCATCAAAACAACAGAAAATCCATCGCCTACCCTGGTTTATTGCAATAATAGGATCACTGTAAATCTGGTTCTTCCAGCATATTATTAAAAAACCTCTAGCTTGATAACCGGGCAGTACTGATAAGCCACTGTCTTTTGCTTTTCAGAGAAGTAAGAATCTGTCAACAGATGATTGAGTTCAGCTAATTACTGTAAACCTGGTTGAGTTGTGCAGACATTGTGCCAGAATTATTGAGTCCAAGTGTTTCAAACTTCTGTCGCATTTGAATATTGGAAAGTACGCAAAAATCTTGTGCCAAGTTAAGCTTAGCATAGATAAAGTACGATTTCTGTTTAAAAAAATAAAAATAAAATCATGAATGCACCCTTTGGTTGAATAGACAGATTCGATGAGCTTCTGTCTTGTAGTTTGCATTAGGTTTTATAGAAATGATTTCTGGTGTATTATTAGATGCTGAATTATGACCAAGTATACTGTCTTGCTGAATAAATACGTTTAGTTTGTTTGTTCGATTGCATGATATAGCGGAGGTTTGCAAACGTGCATCACATTGAGGCACGGCAAAGGTCATAGATTGGTTCACAGATGATCAGTCCTTGAAATTATTACAGAGTTCAGACTGTATTATTTCATAAGCACACTTTTTTGCATTTATCATGCATTTTGACATTAGGCATCATGGCGTCAGATTTTATTGCCAAGATAATGATTTTCTTTATTGCTCTGGTAATATCTCAGTGCTTGTCAAGAAGATATGCATTCTGCTTTCTCCAAGCACTGTCTGAAGTGCACTGCACTTGAAGCTGAAGCTTTTTCAGACTGTTTTATAGGTTAAGAAAATTTTCTAGAAAAGTAAACTGCAATAGCATCTTAAGAAAATGTGTTTGCTCTTTGTCGACCTCTGGATGTCCTGCCATGTGAAGTTTGCTTTATGTGGTGAAAGTCAAGTTTTCGACATTATTCACACGTCGTTTAGGTGTTTTTAAAAGGATTAAAGACTAACCATGTGCAAATTCATCAGTCAACACCATTCAAGTCAAAGTGGAGCTGGTCCCAGCTGCAGTGATTGAGTGGAGGGGACTAATTTGCATATTCATGTGTCCACATAAGGGTGTAGAGTTATATTAAAGAAATTATTTTCACAGGAAAAATTTCATTTTGGTTATGAACGTTTTAAAGGGATAGTTCACCCAAAACTGAAAATCGTCATTACTTGCTCATCCTCAAGTTGTTCCAAACCTGTTTGAGTTTCTTTATTCTGTTGAACACAAAAAGGTATTTTGAGGAATGTTGGTAACCAAACAGTTGACGGTAGCCATTGAGTTCCATAGTATTTTTTCCCATGCTATGGAAGTCAATGACTAAATGTGAGTAAATGATGACAGAATTAACATTTTTGGGTGAGCTATCCTTTTAAGGGATAAATTTAGTGACTGCAGGGGACTTTTAATTGCAACTTCTGAGATATAAATGAAACCGTTATATTTGCAGCATTCACAAAATAAAAACCAGAGGGATGATGTCACGCAATTGCTTCGTCAAAAGAGGTGAATGGATGCATGCTGATCCTGAGATTATACGCCACAGATTATTAACTGATGGATTAGGAGCTCATATTCTGTGTGCGTGGTTGTATGGTGGTCCCATGTAATAATTTTGGCTCTATTTTAGAGTATTTAGTGCATGACAACACTTAAGGAGACAGTATTATAGTGCACAAGCTGTATCAACCTGTAAAGATTTCTGTATAATGTTTATACTGCGGTAGATGTGTTTGTTTGCATGGCTATTAAGTTCCAAATAAAAATGGGAATCCGATGACGTGGATCTCAGTTTTGTATTTAATTCACTGCATCATCTTACGCACATTATAATGCTATAAACGCAAACGCCACATGGTCTTAATGAAGACGTGCACGCACAAACGCACCAGATGTATGACACATGGATGAGTATTTGGGCTTTAGAACAAACAGTTTGGTGGATTTAGGTTAGAATTAAATTGGAAGAGTTTTCATTATTCCAAAACTGCCTTGTTTTGCTGGATCTTCTAGAATCTGATGGGCTATTTGTATGCATGTGTGATAATGTTTATAGGGACTTGAACTTTGACCCCAAACGTTCTGAATGTTTGACCTTACTCGTGTTACTTACCTCTTTCATAACTGACTTTCAAAACTGAGCTTCTCCATATGATGTCAGATTTTAAGTAGTTAATGATTTTACAGGCGGGGCATTTGTGGTGTTGTTAATATTTAACTCATATTGTATGCCTCAATAATGTTTAATCTGTTTCTGTTTTACTGTATGGCACATTTCCATAATCCATTGGACATAATGATGAATCCCGAAAGCATTTTTTAGGTAAATCTCAATTTGCATACTTTCCAAGCTGTATTATACGCAAAATTGGGATTAGTGTATCCCAAATCATAGTATATTAAAATAGCATGACTACTAGTGTGCTCTAGTTTTATGTGGATTTTTTAATATGCATGGCTTTTGAGCAAATATTGTGAACAGAGACTTATTACATACTCAATAGTATGAATTTTCCCGGAAACAGCTAAGAATATGTGTTTATGTCCTATGTCTCACAATGCTTCATTGTATTGTAGTTCCTTTTTTTCTGACTAAAACCAGTTAAATACACGTTCTTGTATTTTTGTCTGATTTTCAAATACTTTTTTGCTTTAAATAAATGTTTATAATGCTGTGATTTCACCTTAGCTGGTCATAGCTTAAAACACTTTTAACAAAGATTTTTTTTAAATCCCAATAAGAAAATGAATAGAAAAAATACTTCAGGACCCAATGCTGCTGAAAAAGTGGGCGGGCACTAATGCGCACCGTTGTTGTTGATGAGCAGAAGACAGGTGAAAGGGGTGGGGCTAAGAGATCTGTGCTAAATGGTTCTAATGTTGACATGGAGACGCTCAGTCATTTTCTACCAAAACAAGCCACAATCGAATGGTTCCCTTTGGTCGATTAGGTTGGATAGGCTAATTCCTATTTCTTTGAATGGACCAGTTTTCTTCTGATTAATAAAATAACTGAAAGTGAGCTTGAGGGCCATCCATTCAGGTCCATGAGGCGTTTCTCAAAGTATTTTATCCTTTATCGCATTTGGCATGCTGGCCTACTCACGACTGAACATGAACCTGGTGCGCTGTGCAGCTGTCCACACAAATAAACATTGTTTTATTGCCCAGGCTTGACGAACAGAGGAACACTTGTTTTTTAAAGAAGAGGGGGAAAGAAAGGGGGTGTGGCTTTGGTGTTGGAGTCAGTTTATCCTGTGAGTTGAGCCAGCGCTCGGATTGACTCGACCGCCATCACAGCTGTGATCAGACATTCAGCATCACCCCTGAGAGAGAGCGAGAGAGAGACGTCCACACTGTAGACTAGAGAGACAGTGAGGACGGTGTGTGTGTGCGTGTGTTAACCCAACACGATATGCTTGCTTTCTTCTATCTGAAGTTATTAACATAAAGAACAGGTCAAATTGCACATTAAATGTTGCACTACATAAAAGAAAAGCCATTTTAGAGGAAGTTACTATATTTTAATTAGAAGATAATAAAAGTTTTTCTTTAGAATAATGTGCCTTAATGTCAGTTTTTATTTGACTTCAAAAGCATTCATATATAATAATAATAATAATAATTATTTGTATTATTTATCATAGTATTTACTTTACATTTACATTTTTAAATAATATTTCTTTTCATTTTTTGTAGTAGTAGTATACCACTACCGGAGAACCCGGCAGTTCTTAAAAGCTGAAGAATTCCA